TACTTAGGCTTATAGGGAACTATGCTATTAGCAATATAGATAGTATGTATGTTAATAGGACTTCCCTTATTAACACTTTTTAGATATTTTATTAGGCGCAAGTTATATATTACCTATAAAATATCTAGTATATTTATTATAAAAATTTGTACCTATATATCTTCCTATTAGGGTCCTTAATTTAGTAACCCTACTATAACTAAACCTAAGATAATAGAGATATAGGTAGGATATAGGCGTCTCCTGCTCTCCTATACTACTATATTTCCTACCTTCCTAATTATTAATTCGCCTTATAGAATATCTATAATAACGCCCTCTCTATATAGCTATAGTCTGCCTAGTATTAGTTAATAGGAGAGACTAGGTACTATATAGGCTAAAAGCTAAGACTACTAACTATTTAAATTATAGTCTAATACTACTAACTATAAAATTCTTATACCCTTAGTAATTCCCTAGGCATGTTATAAGGGTTACAGGGGAATATCTATAAAGTTCCTACTAATCTATCTTACTAACTTTTCCTTAACTATACTAAAATACTAGCACCCTAAATTAACTATTACTTACACGTTCTCTACTCTACCTAGGAGGAGGGGAATAAAGAAAGGAGGATTATTTAACCTAGCCTTAATATCTAGGGGATACTTAATAGCCTCTACTATTAATAATTCCTCTATTATAGTGTCCTCCTTATACCCCTAACTTAGCCTAAAGTTAGGGGCGGCTAGTTTCCTAAATTAGAGCTGCTTACTAATACTGCAACTATCTTAACACCTACTAGTTGTAGTAATAGGGTATTAGGGCATGCACGTACAAAATAACTACCCTATCTATACTAGGTGCAGACCTTTACTAGTTTCTATATATTAAATAGGTCCTATAGGATCTAGTTAGGATATAATATTAGTAGTTTAGTAGGTACACTTAATAAGGCTGCCACTTCTACTATATTTATATCGCCGTCCTAATCTAAGTTAGACTTCTACTAGGGTTCCTTAGACTTACTAGCCTAAAGAAAACCTAGTTCTAAAGAGGCTATTTTAATATCTACTATAATTATCTTATATTCCTCTATAGCTATGTTATAGTTTATCCTAAAGACTCCCCTATTAAGGGAAACTAAGTATATATAACTATTAAAAGATTGCTAAAGTTATAAAAGCTTCTATTTATTATTCTAGTATAAACCTCCTAACTATATAAGAAGCTATATAAAATTTACAAAGAACTCTATAAAAGGCTAATTTTAGCCCTAATATAAGTATTCTAATATAACTTAGGCACACTCCTGCCTATAATAGTTACTATAATAGAACGCTAGGTAGTTAAGAAACCTGCTTATATCCTAACGCTTGCGTGCACTATTCTTAAAGTATAGTACTATAGCACGCTAGACTACAGGTAATAACTAGGACTAAATATATATAAACCTTGCCTCCTTATCCCTAATAAAGACCTTGTCTGCACCTAGTTTAAACTCTATAGTTATTTGCTAGGAGGAGAAGTTTGCCTTAGTGCTATTATATAGCAAGCTAACTAGGAAGGGTTTATAATATAAGGTAGGAGAGGGCGGAGGCAGTATACTATTAAACCTAGCGGGCTTAGAGGAGGGTTAGGATAGAATCTAATTGCGTATTTCTTTATTCTATTAACGTAGTATAGCTATTATAGCAGAGTCTTAAGCCTATTATTCTATTAATCTATAGACCTATTATATTAGCCTTTCTACTATATTAGGTTACACCTAGTTATTCTAAATATCTAGCGCGTCTATCTCTTATTACTATTATAGTATATTTAGAAGAAGATACTAAAATATTATAGACTAGCCTTAAGGGAGAATATAATAAGCGTTAATAATAGTATTTAGTATCTTAAAGGAGAGGTAAGCCCTTAGCGCCTTTTTATAGGTGTGTAATATGTTCGCTTAGTAGTAGTGTTAGACTTAGTCTGTCTTGTGTTAGACCTAGGCTTGGGCATAAGCCCAAGCCCTTCACAATCTCTAAGACCTATTACCTAGATAAGAGGCTCTAAAACCCCCTAGTACCCCTATATAAGGTATAGAGGAATAGAAGGTAGAAGAGATCCTAGCTAGTAAATTATATTAATCTAAGCTAAAATACAAGGTTAAGTAGGTTAGATATAATTCTAATCCTATTTAGTATCCTACCTCTAACTTTATAGGTGCCCCCTATAAATTATAGGTATTCTACTAATAGTATCTAAATTAGCTAGGTCCCCTATATAGCTTACTAAAATAGATTTAAGCCTAGGAAAAAGGTAAAGAGGATCTAATATTACTTTATAATAATTATACCTAATATTAGAACTAATTTATATCCTATTTAGCTATATATTATCTATTAACTACTATCTATTACTATTATTCTTATTACTATTTATTATTATATCCTATTTAGAACTATTCTAGAACCTTTAAGGTTCCTAGGACACTACTCCTAGGAAACCTTTTTATTCTATATTTATCTTTCTATTAGAACCTAGTTTAGACTCTATATTAGCTAAGATAGTGCCTAGACTACCTTTCTTAGCTAGCTTCTAGATAACTAGTATAGTAGGTGCGGGAGTAGGTGTAGGAGTAGGTATAGAAGCTAGAACTAATTTAGATACCTTCTTATTAAGCGCCTTTATCTTAGCCTATACTATAAAGGTTACCTCCTAATTTAGTGCTATTTCCTCTTTAAGTTTATTAATAGCCCTTATTAAGCCCCTAACTACTAAGACTATCTTATAAATACTATTCTAAAGCTAATATAAATTAGATATAGTAGTATAATATATAGCTATAAGGATCTTAGTAGCTTCTATACCCTTAGTCTAAGTATTAGTAATAGTAACGCACTTAGTAAGGTTTTAGGTAGCTTCTTAAATAGTAGCCTTAAACTATTTAATATCCTTCTAATAAGTAACTATAGTATCCTTATCCTTATCCCCTTTAGTAGGGTTTACTACTAGGCTATAGTACTTATCTAGAGCACCCCTAAGGGTAGAGTACTCTAGGCTAATAAAAGAAGGAATCTACTAGAATTAGTAAAGGAACCCTATTAGACTTAGATACTTACTAGATTATAATACTTATTCTAGGAGATATAGTACTAGCACTTCTTAGAATTCTTTAACTTAAAATTAAAATTATTAAACTTGCCCCTAGCTAGAGCCCTAACTGCCCTTATATAGAGAGCGTAATAAGCAATAGGGAGGACTCCTAGTAGTACTAGTACTAGTATAGCTAAAGGTTCTAATTTAGATTAGTAACTACTTAATTATATAGATTAAATACTTACTAGATTTTAAATAGATTAGGTTAAATAATTAAAAAATTAGGGATATAGAAAAAAGAAAGTTAGTAGGTAGAGGGCTAGTTATAGGCAGGCTAAGGATAGGGGTCTGTGCCCTAGGAATAAGAAGTAAAGGTAAAGGTAGAGGTGAAGGTAGATTTATTTTACAAGAGCTTTTTTTTTAATAAGGGATCTAAACCTAATCCTAAGAATAGGGACTATCCTTTCTCTATAGGAGGGGGTAGTATAATAATAAGGTAGAATTACCTACCTATTATTCTATACTAAGTTAGGCCTAATAAAGGCCTAACTTACTTATATATATAGAGAATAGCTTGCCTATAGTTAGGATAGGTATATTCTTCTTATCCTTTTATATAAGACCTATAGGTATAGGAATCTTATCCTTTTCTATACTAACGCGCACTCCTATATGCCCTTAAGTCGTATAGGATACCTTTTGGATGCCCTACCTACCTAAGTTGTTACAAATTTTTACCTACTAGATTCCCTAATATTTTAGTTATAAAATTTTAAATAATAGTCTATATAAGGGGTAATCCTTACTATCGCAATACAATATCTTATCAATATCCCACCATATATATCAACTTATCGGGGTGGGGTAACAGTGTTCACTTTTGCCCTATTCTCGGTTTGCGACACTTACCTATAAAGCTCTTTAATATACTCTATAAGCTTGCTTTCTTGCGTAGTATTAAGTATTTAACTATTTAGTAGAGTAGTAGTGCGTGCCTACTAAATTTTCTAGTAGCGTCTAGATAAGGTTAACTACAAGTAACTATACTTTTCTACTATTTCTAAGTATATAAAATCTTCTCTAAAAGTTAAGGATTTAATTACTACAAGCGCGTTATTAATAGGTGCTATAGTTGTTAAGAAATTTAGTGTTGAAAATTTGGTGATTTTGGTGTTAGTGGGCGCTCGGTGGTGGATCACGTTACCACAGACCCTCTGGCTTACTCGTAAGACTTACGGTACCGTACGATGCCGCGCGAGACGGCCCGCGCACGGTTTCTGGGGCATGCGGCATTTAAAGATCCAAATATTGCTACCGGAGCCCCTATGTGCGAGGGTGTTGAGATTCGTACCACAGTACTAGGTATGCACATGCTTTTTATAAAGATCTCTGGTGAGATGCGTTGCGCAAGGGTAGATTGTACCTAAATTTGGGGTGATTACAAATATGCTAATGTCCACTAATATTTTAGTGAAATATGAACAGCAATCGTGCAATCGTCCACAAAGGCTTCCTTTAGGATACCTGCGCGGTACTACGATCAGAGTCAGAACGGTCACACGCTATTCTGGTATGTAATAGCGGTTCTTGTGATGTTCAGTACCATGTACGTACATATACGAGGCTCGTTCTGGCATCCTACACAATCACTACTGGTCGATCCCTCATGGCCATATCCGCGCCACAACTCCGTTTCAGACTGAACTGCACAAGCACGTCATCCCATTTATCTGGGCCCCTGCACCATATATCCACATATCGCAGATCCCGATCTCCTGATGTCATTGTCATCCCCGTCCGCCCACGCGGACCATGTTTGCTCTTGTCAAATAGCGGCCCAACTGCCTTACTTCGCCACAACAAGAAAAATCAAGCATCAGCTTTTCACAAAATAAACTTTGAGAATACGAATGTAGAAACTCACGATGATAACCTCAACAGACAGTGCGTGGCGTAAACATCAGGTCACATCTGTCATGTCTCGACCGATAGCCATTGGCTTCAAAAGGCTCCATCTTCTCAGGGGTCGTCTCCGGTGCCAAGGTGATGGTAAAGGCGCGGAAGGTGGCGGCCAAAATGAGTCGCATTTGGTACGTGGCCATATTGCCTCCTGGGCAGCGGCGAGCACCGACGCCAAATGGGACCAGTAATTTCTTCTTCTCCGCGAGGTTAGTCTCGTCTAACCAGCGGAGCGGATTGAAACTGTCAAAGTCCGGGAAGAGGTCAGGCCTCTGCCGGCTCATGGACAGAGACTGTGTGGTCACGACCGTACCGGCAGGCAAGAAGTAACCCAGCACATTCAAGCCTCCCTCCGGAATCGCACGGCTTCCCGTAAGGGCAACAGGGGGTCGGAATCGCAGCCCCTCCTTGATACACGCATCTAGGAGTTTGAGCGAGTCAAGATCTTCGTATCCCTCATGGTCTTGCAGCTCCTTTCGCAGTTCCTCTTGGAGTGGCAGATTCTTGGCTAATTCATAGTAGATGAAGGCAAGTGCTGACGAGGTCGTCTCCGTTGCGGCGAGAACTTGGCCTGCCATTTCTGCACTGAGCTCGGGGCTGGACCACGATTGTGTGGGGAACTTGGCAGTATGATCGGTGAATAGCTTATGGATGCTAGGATCCTCGTCGAAGGGAGTGTCTGCTCCTGTTTCTGCTTGCTTACAGATTTCCTCTCCAAGGTCGAAGAGCTTATCACTAGACCGAACACGGTAGCGGGCATGCAGAAAAGGGCTGTATTGCAACCAGGTGAAGAGCCATTCTGGGAGGCAAAGTCGCCAGACGACAAGGAAGTTGTATTCTCCGACTGCACGAGGAAAGTCGCCCGGCTCGAGATCAACATTGGCGCCACCCATGATGACCTGAGAGTTCTTGAGTGTACATATGCGGAGATGATACACAATGTCCTCTGACTTGGCCCCCTCGGACCTGGCAAGATCACGAACCATGGTTTCAATGTTGGTGACAAATACATCATGGCGCAACTTGAGATTCTTAGTCGTGGTAGCAATCATAACTGGGTGGCGTCGGAGCCGTGCAACAGGGTGCTGAGGATAGGTAACGGTCCAGTCATGACCGCCAACACGCAAAGCACGAATCGACGTGGGAGAGGTGTCAAGGTCCTTTCTGACGAAGATTTTCTCCACTGCCTCAGAGTCATTCAGGATGACGAGGTTAGGGCTGATTCTGACAAGGGGGCCGTAGGTTGTCATGAGCTTGTCAGCCTCGAACGAAAGTCGGCCATGCCATCTCTGCCACCGAATCCATGCTGAAGTCGCCGAGCTAATCCGAGGACCTGGGATTGAACTCAGTGGATGGATGTAGGCGTTATACACCATCTTGGTGACCTGAGTGATGACTGCGAGGACGGCGACAGCTACCACCAATTCCCATCGAAACACTGTAGTTGGTCCATGCAGGACAGCAGAATGGAAGACCGAGCCGATGATAGATGATGAGTTGGAGGAGTTGTTGGAGAGCGTGCCCAACTCGCCCAAGGAACTGAGTAAAATCGTCTCATCAGACATAATGACGAACAAGAGTCCAGTGAACAGAATCTGTGAAGAAGCAGACAGTTTTGTCTGTATACTTTCATTTGTTCGAGGATACTATCTCTATTTAAGCTCCACAGGTTCTCTTCCACCAAAAACTCAGCCCTGTAGCAGTACATATCGGCCACTGTGTTGGGGACGGTCCAACAGATATCCGGGTTGGGATGGTCCTTGACCATGGCTGCAGTGACCAGTATCATCTTTTTTAGTAGGTATCAGGTCAACGGCGCGGAGCGTTCTCCAGCTGGTCGTTCAGCCACCCCCTTGGCAACGCTTAGAAGCCTGCTTCACAACGTCAAGGGGAGGCCAATCAAATGTGTAAATGACCATGTTGACGCCGTTCTGGTGCGGTAGGTATACCACCTACGACTTCGCGCCGAGAACGAGAACGAGAAACTTTCGTCGGGCACCCTACGCTTGAGGCTAGAAAAAGATTGGCAGCTCTTGTTTTTGTGCTAGTTCAGGAAGGCCTGTACGCGGTACTGTGCACGTACTACCGTGCTACCATACCTCTCGGAGCATCTGGTGTCTTGGGACATGCACTGGGAACATGCCACACGTGAGGCCAAGATGTGGTCCATAGTGTGCATTTCCATGAGCAACTGCTCATCTACTTGGACATCGAGGCCAAGACATGACACCACCGTCTGTTTCGCTTCGGATATATCATATAAATTGGCCAGTAACAGCTACGCTGATCAAACGCCCAAGAAAAATGGATAGCTCGGGGAAGTGCAATTTGTCGTGGACATGAGGGCCCAGGAGCGACCATGTTGATGATGTTGATGGGCGGCTTCACCGTGTCGAAACGTCACTGGATTGGTATTATTCCGAGTACATATTGGTTTTGCCTGGAGATACCATCGGTGATAGTACGGTCCATGCATATACGATCTGCTTTAATTCCGACCCTCTATGGTAGGAACTATTAGAGTGAGTATGTACTGTAGCAGTGTAGGTGAGTGCAGATTAGACCGTACAATGCAGATCTTCTACAATGTGCCTGCCACAAGTCAGTCGTAACTATATCCTCCCCTTAAATCGTTTTCCTCTCTATAAGGAAATGGAAAGATATTCCTACAGTACACTGTTTCTAAGCTGCATTCACTCACAAGTTCAGCGTCTGGCTACTGTTCAACTTTTGCTCAGGTTTCGACAAGCAAACGGGAAACCAAGTCGGCCCTTTTGTTAGTGTAGCTGTCACTTGTCCCTTCCAGCGGTTCGGTACAAACCGTATTCACTGAAGCTAGAAAGCCTAGTTAGCTCCGGGTGGTGCGAGCCGTCTTATGAACACTATCGCCACAGAACCCAATCGAACTCGGCGTAACAACATCTAGGTAGCCCCAGCCGCAATACGTCGCTGCGGAACCTAATCTGGACCGAAACCGTACCACGCCCAAACCTATTATCGACTGCCTGCTTCTGTCTGTCCGATCTTACAAGATCTACAGTACACCTGTTACATGCGGCTAAGCATGGCAACTTTGACGCACACATGATAGTTTGAGTCGATAGGACTGCCATAGCATAAGTCAGCCATGAGGCCATTGCAGCTTAGGTCCAAATATTGTCTTTTACTTTACACCTATCAAATCACAAGACGGACTCCGCCGCTTGCCGGAACTCCACTCGATGCTGAGAAAGCTTCATGATGAAATAGAGGAATGCATTCGCCTTCGCAGGACACAATGGGTACTGCGCTCCGTAGGGATTCCCTCGGAACTCGCCCCTCAAGAATGGACCACAGGGATTGAAAAGTTTCATATGATTGGGAGAAAGCTCGGATCGGTCAAACTTGGGAATTGGAGAAATCTCGCCAATCGTCCGGGAGCGACCCTGCGGCTGCCCCCCCCCCCCCCCCCCCCCAAACCAAAATTCTCCCCAACGAAATGGTTAGGGTGAAAAACTGAAATCTCCCTCAGAGGACCGGACCAGTTTCCGGAATGCTCAATGAATGGGAGGTGTGTTCCTTGAATGGCTGCTTGCATTCATTGTGATGGTGTTTGACACCTATTCTCCGGATTTGCTCATGTACCACGCAATGTGGCTACGTAGGCACCAGGTCTAGATGGTGTGTATTACAAAAGCCGACCTCAAGTATGTCTGCTAACGTGGAGTCTTCACCCCAGTGATCGATCTGAGAGACAGGAAGATAGCTAGATCACCAACCAAGGATTGGACCAATCATTTCATCCTCATTGACAATCATGCCCAAAATTTCCCCTTGGGGATTCATACAGCTAGCTTCATGCATGAAAGGACTGGGCAAAGACTTACTGGTATAGATTAACTGCAGATACTCACATGAGCTAGTCGGTTGAGTTGGGGTAGATCATAATATCAGGCCATTCTCCTTCACAGCTTTCGCTGTACTTACCACTTATCCCGAGGCAATTTCAGCCCGTAGGAGTACGGTGGCCACAATCCAAGTCCCTGATAGCCAACATGACCTCTGTTGTTATGTAAGAGCAATACGCAGTGTTCGCGCTATACCCCCAGATGGCGAAAGGATCCGTAGTACAGGACAAGGGGGGGGGCTGGGAAAAGTTGTCTCGTTGAACCAGCGGGACACTGGAAGAAGGGTATCCTTCAGCCCTCGACGGGATAATTACACTCGCCAAAATGCTAACTTGGGAGAACTTCGTAGCCAAGCCACTTCTCTCAATTTGATAAGGGGTTCAGCCTGCGAGATAAATAAGAGAAGTAGCTTTATTTGAAACGATAGGGCTGGGTGAGATGGACTTGTATGGCTTGCATTCCGGTAAAGTATGTTCATTTTTCTGTTTCGATTCTGTGCTTTGGTTTGGCTGTCCAACAGCTTTTCACATCCCATTACTCCTGACCAAAGATGAAAACCCGCTGTACATACTCTACAGAGACGCTATATGGTATGCCTGTCCGGTATCCAGACCACAGGGATGTCAGTAGCGGATCTAGAGGTGATCTTGTGGCCAGTGATGGCCACGTCTTTCCACTGGAGAGCAGCACAATTGAGGGTACCCTTGAACTTGTGGCAGTCGTTGCCAGTGAACACCACATAGCCGAGCCCAGACCCAACGTCTGCAGTGTGCTCTGGCACACTTGTGCCCTCAGTCATGGGGGTGCCGCTCCATTGTAGCCAGAATTTCGGTGACCGGAAACTGTTCTTATCAAAGGTGCTGAAGCGATCTGTTGCAAAAGTATTCTGGTCTGGATCCCCCTCACTGTCCTCGGGAAGACTGTCGATCGTTGGAGCATCTGTGTCTTCTTCGATCCCATCATCTTCCACATCGGCCACCGTCCTCTGCAAGCTAGCTCGACTCGCGGCCAATATAACGGCTGCATTGAGGACGAATGGCAAGACCAATTTGCCAATCACGCCCTCCCCATTCTCAGTTAGGCGGTAAAACTCGAGGCCGGAACTCTGATCAGACAGATTTTTTGCCGAGGTATCTATTCGCTTTTGCCATGCTGCACATTTGACCGAGTAGCTACCAAACACTTTTTGAACATCAAAGGCTTTGGTGCGAGACGACTTGCCGTGACCGCCCACACGGTTATGCATGTGGCGCGTGGAGAATGCTGCGTCTTGCCAGTCGTCGCCCATTGTTGGGGGAGGTCAGAGAAAACAGTTGGAAGTTGTATTTGGCTTTTGCTTGGGGCTGCTCGGCTGTGGCTGGTTACAGGATCTCGGGATGTACAGTGTTGCGGTCGTCTGGGCTAAGTTAAGCAATATAAAGGCTGACGTCATGGAGAGCGGCACACCCAGGTACATGGATGTAACTTAAACGGGAGGTCAGCATTCTTAAAATGAGGTTCATTGAGCTAGGTCAGAGTGCCAATGGTAGTGTTTTTTTTTTAAAAAAAAGTATGGCATCGAACTTGTTCTACACACACATGTTGTTGCCTCAACTACAGCACAATGTGTAGTCTTAGAGTGGATGAACCATTCACTCTTGATCCTGGTGGCATGTTCAGTGTTCATTTTTGTAAGACACGTGCTCCATGTTCAAGACCAAAGGAGGGTTTTGTGCGATGTATCATGGTAAGCACTAAGGATACACAGCCGCAACAGCGCCGGGAGTAGGTAGGTACCTGGAGCCTTGACTCTCGAGTTGCCAGTGCCCCGACCTAGATTAAGGTTTACCAATGCTTATATTGATACTGAGAAGCAGATCTTGTCTTGTCGCGTGGAGGAGTTGGTACGGTATGCACATATGCAGGCTACCTACCTAACCCTGGTCCAAGGTTGCGACCCACCTGCAAGGTACTGTGCACGTTCAGGGTACCATGAAGACCGGCGCACGTGAACAGGCGTCGCCAAGAAACCCTGCACATCGCGAATCGCATCGAAATCGCCTGGAACCCGCATCCCTTGCCTCACCAACCCAAATAATGCCGCCAAAAGGGTCTAGAAAATCAACAACTTCACAGCCAGCATTAAACAAGACCCTAGTCCTTGACAATGGCGCATATACGCTCAAGCTTGGCCTGGTAGCGAGCGGATCCAGTCCCGGCTATGACGATTGTACTGTGACGCCCAACTGCATCGCGCGCAGCACACGCGACAAGTGCACATATCTCGCTTCCGAACTGGACTCCTGCAAGGACTTTGGGGAGCTGGCATTTCGAAGGCCGGTGGAGAAGGGATTCATTGTTAATTGGGAGGCTGAAAAGGCGATTTGGGAGCATGAATTCATGAGCGGTAGTGCGAGGGAGGGGTTGAGGGTGGGTATGCATGTTGCGCGCGAGCAAATGAAGAATTCAGGCTGATTGCTGTATAGTGTGACCCAAAAGAGACAAATCTGCTACTGACAGAGAAGCCGAATTGTCCCAAGGAGCTGCAGAAGAATTGCGATGAGATTGTCTTTGAGCAGTTTGAATTCGCATCGTATTATCGCCATGTTGGCGCGGTACTGAACGCCTACCATGCTCCTAATGCAGTTGATTCTACTGTAAAACCTCAGGAATGTCTTCTTGTCATCGACACATCATATTCGGACACGACGATCCTGCCCATCTACAATGGCAAGCTGATTCAGTCTGCTGTTCGGCGTCTTACCGTAGGAGGAAAGCTGCTCACCAACTATCTCAAAGAATTGTGCTCGTTACGTCACTACAACATGATGGAGGAAAGCTATCTACTCAACGAGATCAAGGAAGCAGTATCTTACATAGTGCCCTCGACGCAGGAATTTGCGCGGAACCTAGAGCAGACTTGGAAGGGTCGGGTAGGCGACAGGAGGGAGCTCAGCTCGGATGTCGTTGTCGATTATGTGCTGCCGGACTATGAAAACTCGATACATGGCTACGCGCGACCTCACGATCCTGCAGCACGACTACGCATGCAACGTGGAGTGCAATCGTTGCAAGGACCACGCGAAGACGTGCTAGCTCTGGGCAATGAACGATTTGCAGTACCCGAGCTCCTGTTCAACCCTACAGACATTGGCATACAGGAAGCCGGCCTCGCAGGCGCAGTCATGGAGTCGCTCAGTGTGCTTCCGGAAGCGCTGAAGATTGGCATGCTGGCAAATATCGTGGTTGTAGGCGGGAACAGCTTGATCAAAGGGTTTGTGGAGAGGTTGGAGGCAGACGTCAGGGCGCTCGTACCTGCACAGTACATGGTGGTCGTCACCAGGGCAGAGGATCCAATCAAGCACACTTGGTTGGGGGGTGCGCGCTTTGCCAGTCAGCCCGAGTTGTTGCGGGAGGCTGTGGTGACAAAGGCGGAGTATGAAGAGAAGGGGTCTACATGGCTGGCGAAGAGATTCTCATGACGTGCTATGTCAATGTAGTCATAGATAGAACGTGCAGTATGACCACTTCAAAATCAAAAGCGAATCCCGATTTGCGATATTCTGCCATTTCGACAATAGTGATGGTGGTGATGGTTCTCAATGAAGTAATGATCTAGTTTCGGGGCTACTGCTGTGGTGATTGGCCAATGGACGGAGCCTTGGCACTCTGTCGACGACATGTCGATGAGAATTTCCCCACGAGCTTGCATTGCCAGCCCATCGCGACCGCCATGCGCCGAATACCGCGCCCCTTGCGGGCAATCGAGCCTCCAAATTCACTCGTCCTGCCACGCCGGCCGCCATTCTGGTCCAGTTGTCCCGCTTCCGCCGTGGGCTCTGCCGCCGCCTTCTCCACGAGCACGGCACGCGGCTTCCTCGTGCCCGCGGGCAAGCAAGATAAGAAGAAGCACCAGCAGTTTGTACGGCGCTGGCAGAAGAGGCTGCTGGGTGACTCGGAACCCATTGGCGCTCACGTCGACCCCTACGACCCAACGTCGCCTGTCCGCATTGCTCCCGAAGACCAGGGCGAGTATGAGGAGGTACTCGACGATGTCTCTGTGCAGCCGAGAAAGAAGGCCGTCTACCAGCCAGTGACACGAGTGTACCGACCAGCCAGCTCGGCGCGTCGTTTACCGCGCGTGGGAGACGACGAGTGGCTGCGGCAGCGCCTCGAGGTCGACATGGCACGAGAGTATGAGAAGCTCACGCTGCGCACCTACACGCCGCTTTCGCTCGACATGGCCACCGATATCGAAGGGCTGACGGGCACTCCCTACACGCTGCGTGACGAGAATCTGCTGTTGGCTCAGCAAGTCCACAACGCCACCGGTCGGCCATATACACACTACAACTTTGGTCTGTACCGCAAAGCCGCCAACACCACCCGCGAACTGCGTCATCGGTTTGAGCGTGCCGTGGCCGAAGTTTATGCGTTGCGACATGCGGGCTTGAGCATGGATCTTACCAGGCTCCCCCATGGCGGTGTCTACGAGGCCCCGCCATGGGTGCAGGACATCAAGCTATATAAAACTGACGGTGGCAGGCTCGCCCTAGCATATCCCCATTACAAGAGCGCAGAAGAGTTTCTGAACCTCTTGCAAACAGCACCGAGACTTGAAGAGAGCGTGCCTGAAACCGACGACCTCCTGTTCGATGGCGCTGAAGTGGAAGCTGAAGCTGAAGCTGAAGCCGAGGCCATAGATGTGCTGGAGCCCGTTGTACCACACGAGGAGCCGCCTACTATGGATCCTGCAACCCCTGCTTTCAAGAGAGCAGCTGTGGTCAAGGTGGACGCTGAGAAAAAGTTTGATTTCATGTCAAACCGCCCAGTCCCGCGTGCAAAGCCAGTGCAACAACAGGAGCCAGTGCAACAACAGGAGCCAGTGCAACAACAGGAGCCCGTAGAAGAGGTCAAGACTCAGGAACCTGTCGTCGCCGACGTGATTGTTGAAGAGGTCACTGCTGTGCCAACTTCTGAGCCAGTATCGTCTGAATCAATAGCCGCTGAAACGACAGCACCTTCCACAACCCCCGCCACAGAAGAAGCCGCACTCCCCTCAACAGACGCCCCTGCCTCGACAACAGCCGCGGCCCAGGTTGAAGCCGGCCCTGATGCGTCCACGGTAGAAGAGATCCACTGGCGAGATGTCCGCATCAACAACGTAGCTATCAAATTCGCTGTAGGTAAACCCCCCTTTAATAGAAACCAGCACCCACTAACCCCACCAGCTCTTCAAACGCATATACCAACTCACCTCGCTCCGTATCCCCGACGCTCACTTAGCCGCCACCCACACCCTCGGCGACCTATACGGCCACCTCTGCACCGCCGCCAAGCCCAAGCCCACAACCCTTCATTCCGCCATCTTCATCGAAGGCCAAAAAGCCCGCGAGCGCGCCAAACACCAACGCGCCAATAGCACCACCCGCCAGAAAGCCAACCTCGGCGATCTCATCAGCCTCGGCAACGTCGAGATTCGTCGCACGAAACCGACCAAGATGGAGAAGCAGACAAAGTCGGGTCTGGACAAGGTGGTGCAGTATGCGCTCTGGGAGCGTGGCCTGCGCACCTCGGGACGCAAGCGTGGTGTGCGAAGTCGGAGGGCTAGTGGCGGCAAGGCGCGCACGTCGAACAAGGTGGGTACGAGGGCCCCTGATTTGGGTCGGTTGATTAGTAGTGCGGGAGCGGAGTATCTGGCGAAGAAGACTGAGGAGTTGAAGCAATAGGGGCCGGGAGTGGGGGGGTGGGATGGAGTCAGAGTAAGAGGGACGCGGGGTTGAATTGCGATTTGAACAATTTTCAACGCGTAACTTGGGGACGTGGTGGTTGTCTCCCCGAGTTTAAAGCTGTTTGTATGATTATGTGACATGCATGCATTATCTGCGTCTTTGATCTCTCTCTGAGTTGTCTCTCTCTGGCTTGATCTATCTGCATCTCTGTCAGTAAATATTCAACATTAAACACTAAACCGCCAACTCAATGCCTTCATACCCTCATCATACCCTCAACACATCCAAATTCTTATATCACATCAAACTCCTCATCTCCCACCAGCCCCCAAACACAAACTTCAAATAAACGCCAAAGACCAGATGTACCCACGACTCGTGTGACACTCTTAGATAGAGCGCTGGTAAGCCAATGAATCCCAAATCCAATTCATTCATTTTTTTTGGGAGAAAGAAAGGGGAGGGGAGGTTACACGCATGACACGCACGACATAGCATAGCATAGCATAGGAAAGCAAAGCAAAGTAAAGCCGATCCTAAGTAGAGTACTACATAGGTAGTTAGCTATAATCCCTAGTATACGATTATAAGATCAAGTATAATATTCCAAGAAAGAAGAAAATCGCCCCTACCGGTACTCCCCCATCCCCTTCCAACAACCCACCCGACAAAACCCGACAAAACCCCCCAAAAACACCCTCCTCCCCCTCCTCCTCATAGCTAACTAGCAAGGCAACCAGAGTAGCCTGACATCACCCTCACACCATCAATCACAACCACATGCACACCAAACTCACCGACTCTCCAAAAAAAAAACGCTCCGATGAAAATTTCATCTTATTCACCGAGAAAGTTTATCGGTATTGTGTTCGAGCTTCCGCCCACCATCGGCGGATATATTGAATAATTGCTTGGCGGGTAGACGGGTATCCCACCTCTGCCCCGCCAGCAACCCCCCCACCCCCACCAGCATCACGTTCACGTTCACGTTTGGTTGCACGGCTTGCAAGGGGGCGGAATTCGTGTTAATCAGAGGAAATTAGCTGCTATCTACAGTGGGGTTTTACGCCTTGATGCTCGGAATATACATGTTTTGCAGCTCCCCCCCAAAAAACGAAAAAAATAAAAGCACGGACAGCAGCTACATAGGGTATTCTGAAGAGCGTTGATGCAGGTCAGATTTTGATTGCATGGGCGAGGGCTCGTGCCTTCGGGGTATAACATTGCACGTTTTCATAGACGCGTAGCGCATGCTGCCCTTCTTATTCATCCCCCGCTGCAAGCCGTCATGTTGGGGGCACGGATTAGGTCCCAAACGCCAGTGTGGGTAATGCATCTGCTCGAGTCTATGCCGGATCCCGGATGACTCCTGCAGATGCTCAAAAGGAAGCCAAAGGAGAATTGGAGTGTTGGGGCAGGGTCATCTCGGTTGAGGTGAATCTACTGCTTGATTTCGTAGGTGCGGCGGAACATGCCGTCGATGCCGGTGAGGTAGTATGTGCCCGGGAAAAGGGTATCGGCGCTACCCTTGGGGGTGTAGTCCTTCTTCAGGTGAGCCTGCTCACGAAGGTTGCACATCTGGGGAGTAGTATCAGTCATGTGTTCGAAGCCTACAAAAGAGACCAAATCTTACCTCGTCGTACACTTCTGGGCCAACCACCCGCCTCTTCTCCAGACGGCTCTGAATGTCGAGCTGCTTGGCAATGTTCTCGGTGCTGCCAGTGATCTTGAAGGAGAACAGCGAGGATGCGAGTCCACTTCCGTAGCTGAACAAACCAATAGTCTTGCCCTGCAGGTCCTGGCTGCTGATGTTGGCCAATAAGCTGCACAAGCTTCCGTAGACACTGCCACAGTACATGTTGCCGCATTGGGTCGGGACCTGGATACTGGGTTGGACGCGGGAGGCGAATCGCTTCTTCGCGAGCCCCATGAACGTCTTTTCGACCGTCTTGTCTGTAACGGAAGTGGCATAGTCCAGATCACGCAGCTCGGCGGGCACGTCGGCGAAGATTGGGTTGGATGGGTTTGTGAGATAATCGTTGTAGAGCATGCGCGCATAAGACTTGGACACGAGCTTGCAGGTTGGTGCGTGGAAAGCCATGTAGTCGAAGCGGTCAAGCGGTGTCTCCTGGCCTTGGGCATGGCCATTGGCGCCATTTTGTTGCGACTTGAGAGTCTCCTCCCGTGCGTTGTAGGCCTTGTAGCATGCATCAACAGCCTCGGTGTAGCAGCGGACGGAGAAGTGACCGTCCACGATAGGGTACTCGCTCGTGAAGTCGGGCTTGTAAAAGTCGTAGGCGTGCCTGATGTAGGAGCCACGGAGGCCAGCGTTCATGACAATGGGTGCGTTGGGGCCAATGAGCATGGCAACGCAGCCAGCACCACCGGTCGGGCGGGCGTTGCCCTTCTTGTAGAGGGCGATGTCACCAGCGACAACCACAGCGTCACGACCATCCCATGCCGAGGATTCGATCCAGTTGACCGAGTTAAACAGGGCGTTGGTGCCGCCGTAGCAGGCATTTACGGTGTCAACCCCCTCGACATTGTAGTTGCCAGACTCCTCAAACAGCTGCATGAGCACCGACTTGACCGACTTGGACTTGTCCAGCAGCGTCTCGGTGCCCACCTCGAGGCGGCCAATGTTCTTGGGGTCGATGCTGTACTTGCGAAACAGCGAGGAGACGGTTGTCAGGGCGAGCGAGTACATGTCTTTCGGCGCATAAAGTCAATTGCGGGGTCTTTTGCAAAATGCCCGCTGCGGGGTCCAGGGCAAAACTCACCCTCACGATCGTCGCAAAAGGACATCTTGGTCTGGCCGAGGCCGATTGTGTACTTTCCCTGAGAGACGCCATCAAACTTCTCGAGTTCGGCCTGGTCGACACACTGAAGGGCTCACAGGTCAGTAAAAATGGCCGATGAGCAGATATCGGCTAGAAGGGGAAGGTGCAGGAGGATGTGTGTGGGTGTGTGGCGCGTAGGGAGGATTGCTGACTTGCCTGGCTTGGGAAGTACAGCTCAATGGCCTTGATACCGATGTTGGAGGGGCGGGCTGCCATGGTTGCGCTCAAGTGTGTGTGTGAGAGAGAGTGAGAGAGTGAGAGATAGTGTGTGTGCGTGTGAGTGTATGTGAGTGTATGTGAGTGTGAGTGTGAGTGTGAGTGTGTGTGTGTGTGAGAAAGGGGGATGGAATGTGAAGAAGGCAGGAAGTGGGAAGAAGATAAAGGAGGGGTCGATGGTCAATCACACCGCCGGTTTAAGTACTGCAAGAGGACTGTTCTACTGGGAGTGTTATGTACGCGGGCGACTTGGGCAAGGTGCGGTCAAGTAGCGGCGATCGTTCGTGGCAATGCTTGCTGGCAGCGAATGTCTTTTGAGTAGAAAAAAGGGTTGACAGTTGACTGGTTGTGTACAACGCTTTCTAGCTCCCAACAACGCCAACTTGCCGCGAATGCGGAACTGTTGTTCATTTTCCTTGATTTGCATCTGCATTGCCTGTCCACTGTTGTACTTGTGAAAATCTGCCTTTACCTCGTCTCCACTCGCAGCTTGGAAAAGTTGGACAAAAGACCTCATGTGATAGACTCGAGTAGTTCGAAGCCTGCTTGCTCCCCTTTTTTTCCTTTCTCTGCCATGGACAAGTTCTTTGCAGGGGGCCCACCGTAGTCGGAGCATCCTCTTGTCAAAGGACCCTGCCAATCCCTGTCACATCAAGGAAAAAGTTCGTCACGCGAGAGCCAATCGGCGTTGGGCTTGGCATGCAGGGCGACCACCTTCCACCTATGTCGCCATTCCAAGTCTGGCGCTAGTGCAGGAACCCAACGCCATGGCCCGGGTCGTGGACTGTTGTCTCCACGTAACTACCTACATACTCCTAGATTCTATAGTCTATCTTATATGCTACGCGTTCGAGACCTCTGGAGTAGAGTAAGACTAGTACCGAGCAACGTGTTGCAGGACCAAGTAGGAACAGCGTAGCGTGACATGTATCTCGGTATGAAATCTTCGAGACCACATGGAGTAGAACCTATACCATCTCAAATGCGTTTGGCAGATACGCATTATCGACGCTCATCTGTTTCGAATGAGCACGGTGTTCAGCATAGGTACGGTACTATGATGGCGTGTATATCACCAGTTCTTGAAACTACGTCATCTATACGACTGGACCTAATGAGCGTCAAATGTCACTCTAGCTGAGAAGGACATCCTACACTCGGACCGTTTCAACAAGAGAAACCAATATTCTTGACCAAAGAGGAGCCGGTTCAGAATGATTTCGTAACGTCTAGTCAACGATAGAAAATAACATAATGGCCATCCAAATTTGAATGGATTGTCCAGCCGGCCAGATCAAGCATGTATACGTCTGTTGTTCCACCCGAACCTCTGCCACATCCCCTCATTGCATAACTCCAAACACCATCTCACAGTCTTATGCTCATCTCATAGTAGCCAAACACCCCCACATCATACAAGCGTGCCATCAGGCTCACCCGGTAACCTCTTGACTCGCCTCTGTTCCCAGTCTTCGAGGTCTTTTGCTTGTAATCTCTGCAACACCCACTCAGTGACCTATCCTACACCCCGTCTACACAGTCCACTTACATAATATTCATCCTTCATGTTCACTTTCCGTCTCTCGCCTCGTAGGCCCATGGCCTCTTCCTGTGTAATCTGTTGGTTCTTGCGATCATAGCGTTCGTATCGCAACGCCGTCGCCGGCGTGAGCATGAAGCTCCCTGCCACAATGGTGCTGATAAAGGGCAAGCCAAAGAGTAGGAAAGGGTGTTTATGTAAAGCTTTGCGGTATCTGGCGGCTAGAGAGTTGGGAAGAGTGGCGGCAAAGGACTTGGAGGCGAAAGGACCCGGCATCGCGGTGGTGGTATTGGCCTGACTCCGGATGCGATAGAGTCGTCTAGGTTGAAATGAACTACTCTAGCAGTGATAGCTCAAATTCAAGTCGTGGGCGGAGTCTCGCGGCCAGTTGGCTGTTGCTCGCATTGCGGAGGGTTGCGCTTTCCCGGCAAGCCTACGGTACCGTAGGCTTGGCAGTCTCGTGATTGCGCGACCTCCCGTCGACGCGCTTTCACGTCACCCCACCTACGCACACGTGCATCGGACTATCATCTCTTCAACTCGCCCAAATCACCTCGCCGCCTCCACCATACTCTGGATCCAAGCAAGTGGCTCTCCAACTTGCCCATCTGCACACAAGACTTTCCCTCACGCTTTCGACAGGCAACCCAACTACAGCTATCTACGCCTCTGCGCTTCGTCATACCACAATAGATTGCCCGAAACAAAAGCACTAATTTTTCTACTCGAAATGCTGCAGTAGTAACCGCCATCATGGCCCGCAAAGGCGGGAACTCGATGCAACCGCCACCCCCACCCAAAGGAACTACGAACACACATGTGAATGGTCCTTCGCCTCCATCTACAATTGCTGCTCAGATTCTGCACAACGCTTCCAATGTTCATACTCGACACGGTGCGCAAGCCAAAGTTAGCTTTGGAGAGCTAGTCAAAGAATTCCTGCAGCACCCAAACACAGATGAGTCTGATTCTCAACTGGTTGCACTAATAAGTGTCATATCTGAAGCTGGATTGGAGGGCCTGTATAAAGATGACCCCTTTGCCCAAGACCAACAGCGGCAGCAGAGTGTCGACAGTATCGATGCGTTGAAAATCATTATAAAACAAAAGCCTCATTTGCTCATGAGTATCAAAGATGGTGACGAACAAGGAGGTCCTCGGCCACGGCTTCTCCTCTGGCTTTTCCCCAAATTACTGCGCCTATTGACGCATAAAACATTGCGCTTCATTCACCAACCTGCACAGGAGCTTCTTGAACTCTGTCTGGGAGCCCTCGTTCAAACATCCGCGCTTTGGCGACAGGCAAGGGTAGCCTTGCGGTTGTACAAGTCTTGTGTTCAAAGTACGTACCGACCGACCTCGAATTACGTTGCTAATGGTTGTGCAGCCATGCTAGTCGAATTGAAGTGTCTAGATGATATATCATCTTTGCGCGGACACAAATTCAGCATTACCGTGCCACCGTCAAAATGCATAGGCGAGTTTTGGCCAGAGAGCCAACAATTCGTGGCGTTACCCCATGATTTACAGACAGGAATTACTTCACCACTTACGTGCATTTATGTTGGGCTCAGAATTCTGCATGCGCTAGTAGCTGCTACACGTTTGGAGGTCCGAAAGCAGGCAGGCTCGGCCTCATTCGAGCCTGAACTACTCTGGGCGCTCGATAGTACTATTGTGCTATGGCAAGTCTTCCGGAGGTGGACGACAAATTCTGACAAGCAGCCTTTGGGTGATGAGATTGTGATGCTGTACCTACATCTAATCGAAGCATTGGCCATTCCCCTTGGAGGTCCTGGTGACTATTTTCCGAACTCACCAAAAGCCGGCCAAGCTCTCGTCAAGAGTCTAACCAACTTTACTGAGCAGGAATATATTTCGACCATGTCAGAATCAAACCAGTCACACTTAGCTTCATTGTTAACACGTTTACGAAGCAGTCTATTATCTAGAACATCTTGCAATTTGGTTCTCCGAGCACGACAAGCCAAAAGTCGGCCTATTACCCTAGATATCCTAGAGGCAAATATCTATCAAGTATGTCAGTCGACCGAGCTTCTCTTAGCCCTCCACAGAGATTTGCAGGTAAGGCCCAGGTCAGCCATCATCGTAGTAGTCAACTGACCATCCATAGCTCGCACTGTGTTTGTGGACCTCTCCAGGGGACTGGCCAATTGAAGTGGCAGATCTTCGTCAAGACCTATGTGACAATGGGGCAAAGAGTTTTTCCGCTGCTCAAATTGGACTCCAGTCATATCCAGTCTTCCAAGAGTTCAAAATATCAAATTTTTCCGATGGTGACAGGCCAGTTAAGCGACGTAAAACACAGCCTGAGCCCGTAGAAGACGGAGATGTCAACACGTCAGTATATGAACAACTTGTGACCACTTTATGTGGCAGCACACAGGAGTCTCCAGCGCTGGATTTGACTAATCTTCACAATATCATTTTGTGAGTCAATCCAGTGTCACTATATCTACATTTGCTTACCTACTTCAGAGAAAAATTCTCTTTGATGCCAGATGACAACCACCAAAATCAAGAATCCCAATCCAAGATGATTGAAGCTTTTGCAAGGATAGCCTGCGCAGGATCACGAAGCCTTCGAAGTTCTACGGCCCATTCGAAAACACTAGAAAGCCATCGTTGCACGCTGTGCGATGATTCCGACGAATCTAAACGGGATGCGACAGTATACTGGGACATCAATAGCAATTCAGACGAGTGGAAAGACGTCATTGCTGCAATGCTGCTAGTTACTAAAGAGGCCAAATTTCAGGCATCGATCAAGTCTCGGATACTTATGGCTGTAGCCATCGGGCGGGTCTTCAATCACATCGCAGATTCAGAGTATCTCAATCTGGAGATTTGCGAGCTCGGACAGTGGCTACTCGCTTCTATGAGCAGGTCGTTACGAGAATTAAAGCTTGCAGCAACAACGTCCCTCATGGTGTTCCTGCGGAACGATCTCTCTAAGAGGGTCAAGACCAAAAATCGGAGGTCAGCTATAGAATTCTTGGATGCGCTTTCCAAACGCAATGCCCTTTCTGATCAAGAAACGCTCATCATGGCATACGGCCAGATCGCTCACGTATGTGGTGAACTGGAACTCCCCATTGTACTACATCATTTGGTTGAATTCCTTGGTCATCCCAACGCCCTAGTGTGCGGTATGGCTTACTGCGAGATCGGATCTATTGCCAAGAAGTCTTCGATGGATACCACGCAGCTACTGAGTCCATACTGGAAAGTCATCGGATTTTCCATCATCAAAGACATCATCAACAAACCACAAAAGGCACAGCAACTAGCTGACTTGACTGAGCAGAGCGTCCGTCAGCTTCTGGTCCACACGCAGTCGGAAACACTGCCCCATTTAGTTCTAAGTAAGCGAAAGGACATTATCGAGAAGATTGCGCAAGCCCGAAAAGCTTCCATAGTCGAAGTCCTGACTCAACCAAGAGCCAATTTGGCCAAAATTCTTGCTCTATTACTGTCACAGCCAGTGGCGGATGTTGAACGCAACGCCATGGACACTTTGGCAGCAGTGGAGCCGGCCATGCGAGAGAGCAGTAACAATAGGCTCGAGGCTTGGGTTACGCTGGACGTCACTGGCATCGCTATCGAGATATTAATGTTGGCAGCAGACCAAGAAGGAGCGAGGAAAAAGCCATTCTATGACGGCTTTACCATGCTCACTATACTTGCCGACACAAAATCAGCACAGCGCAAGCCTACGTCAAAATCCAAGGCCTTGGATGCGTTTTGCGAGGCCCACATCCTCGGTATCATAGCGCATTTCTCTGATATCATTGAAAGTCCTTTGGCACAAGGGAAGGCTACGTTACGGTCTCTGCCCGAACGCAAAAGAAGTATAGCCGCGATTGGTGATCTCATAAAACTCGCGCGTTATAGTGTAAATGGAGCCTTGCCACAGATTCGCGCATGTCTTCAGTCCGCGATGGCGGATCCAGATCTATGCGATGATACAGTCGCCGTCTGGATGGCATTTCTCAGGGCGCTGGACGAAGAAGAGACAATGCTTGTGGTAGATCAAACTTTCGCTCTAATCGTACAGCATTGGAATCTATTTTCGGAGGAAACCCAGACACGAGCCCACGACACAATCTTGAGCCTTACCAGCGAGTACAACGCCCAACTCAGGGCAAGGATAGAATATTTACCCTCGCTTGCAGGAATACCCATGCTTTCCAAAACAGAAGCAGAGCTGGTGCGTTTCAAGGAAATGGTCGACGAAATCAAGGTCTTCCAAGCATTCAGCAATCGATGCAAGGATCAGAACGCCGTAGTTGTACGTCGAGCGTTGAAGGAGCTAGTGCCTTTCCTTGACACGCATCAAAAAGTTCTGCATCAGTCCATGGTTGACCAGAAGCCGCTTCCAGTCCTTGCAGATTTAACCCGTTCACTGCTTGACGCCAGTGTTCGATTTGCAGAAGATCACACTGACATTACCGTACTGTGTGCCGAATGTCTCGGAATTGTCGGTGGTGTTGATCCCTATCGGGTGGAGACGGTTCGAGAGAAGAAGCGCGTTCTCATGCTATCCAACTTCTCCAAGAGGGACGAAGACATCAATTTTGTAGCCATGCTCCTCGAACAGGTACTGGTCAAGGTATTTCTATCGACGACAAATGCCAAGGCGCAAGGTTGGATAGCATATGTTATGCAGGAGATGCTCAAGCATTGTGGTTTCAGCGGTCTGCATCTCTCCAAGCCACGTTCCTCACAAAACAGTACTGAAGCACAGCGTTGGAACAAGATTCCTGAGGCTGTCCGTAACGTTTTAACGCCTTTTCTCAATTCCAAGTATTCGGTCAATCAAAACCCTGCACTCCAGTACCAAGGTCCGGCCTATCCCATCTTCCCCACGGCCACCAGTCATGGGACATGGCTTCAAACGTTTGTTTATGATTTGTTACGGAAAGGACAAGGTGTCAATGTCGAGATGGTATTCCCTGTCTTAGCTCGCATCATCCGAGGATATGACCTCTCCATCGCAACATTCATCTTGCCTTTCGCTGCTTTGAATGTTATCGTCTCAGATAACGAAAGAAATATGGAGAACATTGGAATAGAGCTACTGACAGTTTTACAAACAAAGATCCAGTCCTTGGACCAGCAGAACGCATCTATGATCAAGCAGTGCAGTGAAGTAAGTTACAGACATAGCCGTCATCGTACAACATCTTCTAACAGTGATTAGAACGTTTTCCAGACGCTAGACTATTTGTCCTTGTGGCTACAAGAGAAGAGAAAAGCGGTAGCAGAGGCTAGGGTGATGGCTGGTAAGACTGGCCGTGGTGTGTCAGAGGACGAAGAAATGAACGCTATCAAACAAATCAGTCGAGTTGAAGGTATTCTCCAAATCATTCCTGCAGAAGTCATCTCCCGACGAGCTGTCGAGTGTGGATCGTATGCTCGAGCTTTGTTCCATTGGGAGCAGTACTATCGCGAACAAGAGCAAATGAAAGTGGAGGCAAGCAAGCCATTCTCCGAAAGGGACGAGCTATTACAGCACCTGCAGATGATCTATTCCCATATTGATGAGCCCGACAGTATTGAAGGTATCTCGGCCCATTTGAAGGTGCTGAACCCTGAGCAACAGATTGTCGAAGATCGCAAAGCTGGTCGATGGACAGCAGCTCAGAGCTGGTACGAAATTGCCTTGGCTGAGAATCCGGACGACACGGAGACACAGATCAACCTTTTGACTTGTCTAAAAGAGTCAGGTCAATATGGTGAGCATGAACATCCATTCTCTGTTACATGGACTAATAAACATATCAGATTCCATACTCAACTATGTCGACAGCTTCCATGCATCCAAGACCGTTTCGAGCAGTACGCTCCCATTCGCAGCTGAAGCTGCATGGTCTGTAGGGAAATGGGAGAAACTTGAGAGGCTCCTTGGGTCATGTTGCGATACTTTACCGGCGTTCATGCATTTCAATGTCGGCTTAGGACGCGCACTTCTTGCGCTGCGTCACCAGAATACCGCCGAGTTCCACATGATTATTGGAAACCTCCGACAGTCGCTTGCGAAGAGTATGTCTCCATCAGTCACTGCTTCTCTCCAAGCATGCCATGATCATCTCGTCAAGCTTCACGCACTGTACGAGATTGAGACAATCAGTGGGATGAGCACAAGAGTTGCTCATGAACGTGAGACCATCCTGCAAAATCTAGACTTACGTCTGGACATCATCGGCGCATACACTTCGGATAAGCAATATCTCCTTGGACTTCGTCGTGCAGCTATGACATTTTCTGGGTACGGTCCACTTCTCCCTTCCCAAATAGTCTTTTTCTTTACTGACGACTTCAAGTATCGAATTTACAAAGTTGAACATTGCTTCAGCATGGCTCACGACCGGAAGACTTGCACGGCAAGGTGACTTCATGACAACTGCTTTCAACTCTGTGTTACATGCCGAGCGCCTTGGAGATAATGCATCCAAAATTGAGTACTCGAAACTTCTTTGGAAGGAGGGTCACCACCGCAAAGCTATACAGAATCTCCGCGGTGCAATTGATGGTAATGCTTTCCAATCAGACCAGACTATACCCGAAAATCTTTCAATCGCTACTACCGGTATGGCGGCCCGGTATGAGATGAATAAGGTCAAATGCCATGCTCAGCTATTACTTGCGAAATGGCTAGATCAAGCTGGCCAAACACAAGCAGGATCGCTAAAAGAGGAGTACGTTGAGGGAGTACAAATCTACCCCAAATGGGACAAGGGTCACTACTACCTTGGTCGCTGGTATCTCAAGCTTCTCGAGTCCGAAAAACGATCTCCGGTATCACGGCAGAGTTCCGAGTATCTCTCTGGAAGCCTAATTAAGCTCGTGATAGAAAACTTTGTCCGCTCCACTGTGTACGGTACGAAGTACTACTATCAAACATTACCCAAGATTCTCACTCTTTGGCTGGACATGGGTATGGAAGTCATGAACACTGCCCCGAGAGCGGCCAAAGACAAGGAGTTCCATGACCACCGGATACAGTATCTGGAGTTTATTAACAAGTATCTAAAACGGTATACTCAAGAGCGCATGCCCGCATTTGCGTGGTATAGCGCATTCCCACAAATTATAACGCGCATCAGTCATCCAAATAAAAGTGTATGGGATGCGCTCCAGACAATCATCATTCGGGTGGCATCGACGTACCCACAGCAGGCGCTTTGGAGTCTTTTGGCAGTGCTTCAATCAACGCAAGATGAGCGTCGCATTCGTGGCACCGCAGTGCTGCAAAAACTTCGTGTGAGTAAGATAGCTGGCCAAGGTCGTACTTCTGCTGACCACGACAAGGATGCCTCCAAAAAGAAGGGAGGCTCGCTCGATTTGAAGAACCTGATTATCCAGGGCCAACGCTTGACTGATGCACTTTTGGCCGCCTGTGATGCGCCAGTGGAACAACGCGTCGCTCATGTGAGTCTATCGAAAGACTTGGGTTTCAATCATAAGCTTGCTCCCACACTGCTCGTCGTGCCTATCGAGGCCAATCTGCTTCCAAGTCTCCCAGCGGGCAACGATAGCCAAGTCATCCGTCGTCACAACCCTTTTCCAGCGGATGCGATCACAATACATTCCTTCAAGGATGACGTCTTGGTGCTGTCATCACTTCAACGTCCACGCAAAGTCAATGTTCGTGGCTCAGACGGACGATCGTACGGTCTACTCTGTAAGCCAAAAGATGATCTTCGCAAGGACCAGCGTCTCATGGAGTTCAACGCTATGATCAACCGTACGCTACAAAGGGACATAGAATCCAGCAAACGCCGCCTATACATCAAGACTTATGCCGTCACGCCTCTGAACGAAGAATGCGGGACTATCGAGTGGGTGGAAGGTCTGAAGCCCATGCGCGACATCATCATCCGCTTCTATCGACAACGCAATATCCACATCGACTATTCGGAGATTCGTTTGCTCCTCAATGAAGCTTCTTCTACGCCATCCAAGATATCCATCTTCACAGAACGTATCTTGGGTAAATTTATACCCGTGTTGCACGAGTGGTTTGTAGAGACGTTCCCTGAGCCAGAGGCGTGGTTCGCAGCCCGACTACGATACACGCGTTCTTGCGCTGTCATGAGCATTGTCGGCCACGTCCTAGGACTCGGCGACCGTCATGGGGAAAACGTGCTGCTAGAGCAAGGCGACGGAGGCACCTTTCACGTCGACTTCAACTGCCTCTTCGACAAAGGCCTCACGTTTGAGAAACCGGAGCTAGTTCCCTTTCGGCTCACGCACAACATGGTCGATGCCATGGGTCCCCAAGGCGTAGAGGGACCCTTTCGCAAGGCCGCAGAGCTCACGTACAAGTTGCTGCGCCAGCACGAAGACACACTGATCACCATTCTCGAGACCTTTGTGCATGATCCCACGGCCGACTTCTTGGGCGGCAGGAAGCGCAAGAAGATCTTTGGCGTGCCGGATACTCCGCAGGAAGTGCTTGATATTACGAGGAGCAAGGTGAATGGCTATCTAAAGGGGGAGAGCGTGCCGTTGAGTGTAGAGGGATATGTCGATGCGCTTATTGCTATGGCGAGGGATCCTGCTAATCTTGCGGCCATGTATATTGGATGGTGTGCGTTCTTTTAACTCGTAATAGATGGCGTGAGTTTACAATCAAGAATGGTCTGTACTTTAATTATAGAACCTTTGCACATTGCATGCAAATCGGGGACTTGGAGCTGACTTTGCATGCTCCCCCCCACTTCGCCAAGTATCAAATATCAAAGTCCATGTGCAGTGATGTTGCAGAATGATCCACTCAGAAAGCTTACTAACGTGACTCACTATGACGCCCAGGAAATATGATTCGCTCGCTCGCTTAGTTACGGCTAAGCGGGCTAGTCCGCAAAGCATCTATGGAACAGATACGCTCAATACATATATACCCGTGCCGGTAACCTTTGCATTTATACTTGTACCTGAACGCCACGACACGCCAATACCGAAGTCAACGTCAACATCAACGCTAAACCTCCACAAACACAATCCTCCACAGTACAACCGATATGAGCGAGACTAAGGATATGGTTGTTATACTCACCGGTGCTTCGAGGGGTACGTAGGATGTGCATACTGCCGTTTTTTTCCCCAGGTTTTCATCGTGTCTGGGATGTTTTTCTTGGGGGTTGTGGGGGGTGTATGTGATGTGCGACTGTTTTATACTCTGGATTCTTGGGTTTGATTTGGGAAGAGAGGGAGGAGAAGGAAGAGGAGGAAGAGAAGGAAGAGAAGAACAAGACACCCGCTCCTCACACCCAAACCTCCAAACCCCAAACCCCAAACCCCAAACTCCCACAACACCCCTACTAACCCCCCTCCCCACACCCCCAGGAATCGGCCTTTCAACAGCACACCACCTCCTCTCCACAAACCTCACCACCAAACTCCTCATCACCGCACGCACCCTCGCGCCCCTCGCCGCCCTGCAAGCGCAATACGGCGCCGCGCGCGTCGAAGTACTCGCCGGCGACGCCGCGGACTTTAGTCTAGCGGGGGAGGCGGTGGAGCGGGTGTTGCGGCGGTGGGGTAGGCTGGACGCGCTGGTTGTGAATCATGGGGGCTTGGAGCCTGTGCGGAAGGTGGGGGAGAGTTCGGTGGAGGAGTGGCGGGCCGCATTTGATCGGAATGTATTTGGGGGCCTTTCTTTTGTGAGTTTTTCAAGTTTCAAGTTTTTATTTTATTTTTTGGAGGGGGGGTCATGTTGGTTCCTTTTGTTCTGGGGGTTTTGTCGGACGGTCCAGTCTTGTCCGAACCTTCACTTTTTGGTCAGCAAGTCTTATCCCAATCTTCCCTTTTTTTTTTTCCCAGCAACCCCCAATCCCCCATTCCGGACACCACACCAAACTCACACACCCCCCAGATCCAAGCCGCCCTCCCCGCTCTCCGCACCTCCCACGGCCGCATAATCCTCATCTCCTCGGGCGCCGCAACAACCGCCTACCAAGGCTGGGCCGCCTACGGCGCCGGCAAAGCCGTCCTCAACCACCTCGCCCTCAGCCTCGCCGTCGAAGAGCCTCTGGTAACGAGCATAGCGCTGCGACCGGGCGTCGTGGACACGGAGATGCAGCGCGAGATTCGCGAGGTGCATGCGGCGCAGATGAGCGAGGGGGATAGGGGGAAGTTTTTGGGGCTCAAGGAGGGGGGGAAGTTGGTGAGGCCGGAGCGGGTTGGGGCGGTTGTGGGGAGTTTAGCGGTGGGGGTGGGGAGGGAGTTGAGTGGGCGGTTTTTGAGTTGGGATGATGAGGTTTTGGCGGGGTTTCAGGGGGAGGAGGGGTCTGGGTGAAGGGAGGGTCGGGTTTCAGGAGGGGGGGTTGAGTGAGATTGTCATTGTCATCGTTAGAAGTTGATAGAGTGTTGTCAAGAAGAAATAAAGCATCGTCCACTGTAGCTAAGAACACAAACGCCATTCTAGGTATGCGAGCCCCTCATCTGTACACACTCGCATGGGCATTCACAACACGCAAAACCCCCCTAGACCATCTCCACCTTTCCCGGTCTGCCCGCCAACGTGTCTACATCGGCCGGCTTAGTAGGTGCAGTTGGTCTTCCACTCAACGTATCCACCATTTCCTTGAGCGCCATCCAAAACTCATGTTTGGGGCGACGACGGTGCCACTCAGTCTCCTTCTTCTCCACCGATTCCATGGGCGAGAAGAGAGCCTTGGAACCCTTGATGCCAATCACGCTGACGGACAGGGGATCATCTTCAATCTCCTCGGGGCTCATATCCGCATACGTTTCAAGCTGCTGCATGGCCTTTGTTGCAAATCGGACGGCTCGCACACGATCCATGGGCGACGGCGTGGTGCCTTGTTGGAAGTGACCAGGCACACCGTGGCGCGACTCAAACTTGCCTTTTCCGGCTTCGGCAATCATTTGAGCTATTATCTGAACACTGTAGACCTTGGACGCCTTCTCGTTGACGAGAATCACTTTTCCGGATCTGCTGACGCCCTTGTCTTTGGTGAAAACGTCCCGTAGATGGTCAATGTCGCGATCCAGCATCTTTAGGTTGATGCCGTCTTCTGGTGTGTAGACAGCCAGAGCACCGATACTGAGACCGGCTAGTGTAGCAATATAGCCCGATTCGCCTCCTTGGGTCTCGATGACGAAGACACGGCGACGGGATGCTGATGCAGACTGCCGACAGGCATCACTGTATTGGATGAGAGCGTTGAGACATGTGTCCGAGCCAATTGAGTACTCTGTTCCGGGCACGTTGTTCGAGATGGTGGCAGGGAGGATAACCTGGCTCATTGTCAGTATGCTGTGAAGTAAATATACCATTGTGTGAAACAATGAAAGAAAATAGAAGAAGAAAAAACTGACCATGGGAATCTTGAACGCCTTGTAGTACTCGCGTGCCTTCCTAAGCTCAGACACGGCAGTAAAGGCCTCGAAGCCGCCGACAACGAGCAGCGCTTGGATGTTGAACTTTTTAAACACAAACGCCGTCGTCTCGAGGTCCTCACTAGGGAGACCGCGGTTGGTTCCAATTTCTGAGCCGCCCTTGGAGGCCCATGTCTCAGCGTCCATCCACTTGATGTCCCGTACCGCACCGATAGGCTCGTCCGAGTGATGGCGGATGATACCTGGGAAGCCATTGTGAAGGGCGACTGGCGAGTGTCCGCGGGCAATGCAGTAGGCTACTGCAGCCCGTGTAGCTGCGTTCATACCTCCAGCAGGAGCGCCGACATGAATGATACCGACGCGCATGCGCTTGTTCTCGGGAAGCATGAGCTCGGGCTGGTCTGCGGCGGTGGTAATGTAGTAGGCCTGGTATTGCTGCTCGAATTCGGTATCACGGAGTTGCATGGCCTTGTGGAAGTCCTGGTTCTTGATGGCAATGGCGACTTCCTGCGTCTGTGCCACGGCCTCGAGAAGCGGCCGTCGAACAATCTTGTTCTCCAACATGCAAATGACGGGACTGGGAGTCTCTGGGGTGGCTTCCAGGACGGCCTTGACGGCTTCAGCGCCCTGGAGCGTGGACAACATGCGATCATAGGCACATGGTGTGCCCCCACGCTGGACGTGCCCTAGTGTTGTGATGCGTGTGTCGAGCTTGGCCTCGTTGGAGAGAATGTCCTTGACCTGCTGGCAGGTGATCTTCTTGAGGTTGCGGTCAATGGCGCCCTCGGCCACGACGACAATGGTCTTGCGCTTGCCCATGGCGCGGTGCTTCTTGATCTGCCTGCACATGTCGTGCTCCCACCCCTCTAGTGGGGGGTTTTCGGGTGTGAAGACAAAATCGGCGCCCGTTGCCACGCCCGCATTCAGGGCCAGCCATCCGCAGTGTCTGCCCATGACCTCGATCACAAAGGCACGCTGGTGGCTCACGGCGGTGGTATCGACCGAGTCTATGGCCTCGCAGATGCGGCCGAGCGATGTGTAGCAGCCAATGGTGGCGTCCGTCATGGACAGGTCGTTGTCAATCGAGCCGACCAGGCCCACAATGTTTAGGTGTTTGAAGGGCTCTATCTGCTGAGCCGTGAGCTCGCCGCTCTGGACCAGCTCGTTCAGCAGCTCCGGCCATTCGCCGCGGAACTTGTCGGCGCCTGTAAGGGAGCCATCACCACCGCAGATGATGAGGGCGTCGATGCCCTTGACAATCATGTTCTTGGCTGCCTTGCGCCGGCCATCACGCTCCATGAATTCCATGCATCTCGCTGTGCCAATAAGGGTGCCGCCCTCGGATAGGAAGCCACGAACATCCTCCCACCTCATCTCCCGGATCATGTCGCCGCCTTTGACGAGGCCGTCGTAGCCCTCGTAGATGGCGTAGGCCTCGCAATGGTTATGAATGGCCATGCGGACTACGGCTCGCACTGCTCCATTCATTCCAGGCGCGTCTCCTCCGCTCGTCATGACTCCGATTCTGCGCTTCCTGCCCTCAAGGGGCGCGGGCAGTTCGACGGGCGCCATGTGGTCGTGCGTCTGTGTCTGGGCGCTCGAGGTGGTGGGAGTGGTGAGGGTGGGGGATTCAACGTTGGATTCGGTGTGGTGTCTATGCGCAGACGTGCAATGTACGGCTAGAAGTAGCAAAGGGTTTTCTCGTGGGCCCAGTGCGGGCAGTAAAGTGCACTAGGTAGGAGGTTCAAAGGTGGGTATCCGCGCAAAAGTAAAAAAGAGGGTCCACGAAGCTGTTGGGAGAGAAGGTTGAGCAAGAGAGGGGAGGGGTACGGTAATCTCTGTGCGCCTATCCGCACGGAATCGCTGCAACCGAACTGGAGGAAGGCAAAGCACAATCCGTCGACTGTCAATGGAGGAGGAAGAAGGGTTGGTTGAGAGAGTGTGCTCCTAGTAGTAGGCAACGGCCTTTCTATATAAACGCTGCCTCGTGGAGGCTATGTTCCTTGTGATAGGGTGATGTCTCCCACTCTCGGTCTCTCACTTTCTCTCTGCCTGTCCCCGGGCTGTCCGTTGCCCGTTGCCCGTTGCCCGTTGCCCGTTGCCCGTTGCAGCTTGCTCCTCGAATGACGTGGGCATCTTCAACAGAAAAGAAAAGCTCCCTGGTTCGCCCACCAAGTGCGGGTCACACCACCTCGGCGCCTTGTCAATGGCCTTCCCAATCTGACAACACGTCACTTGCTCTCATTCCTGCACACACCCTGCCCAGTCGAACCAGAAAATAGAACCCGAGTACATCACGCTTCAAGGAGTTGTTTCGCAAGAAGAAAAACCCTACCGCGCTACCAGCATCTAACATGGCCTGACACCTGGTGTGCACCGACCAAGACTTGTGCATACACAGCTAATGCTCAATGAGACGCTGACAACATCATGCCCTCCACAAGCAACATCACCATCACCAACCCCCCATGCTTTCCCATTCCTCCTAGTAGGCACCCACATCTTGGCCCTCCCTCGCAAGCGTCTCAAACACTCTTGGAGGCAACTTGTACCTGATCAACCCAGCAAACACCATCAAGTCCTTTGCCTTTTGCAGCAGCTGGTCTGCGAGCACCTTGCGCATCGGGTCGTCAAACTGGCCAGAGAGCAAGTGCTCGCGATGGCGTGAACAACAGCCAATGCACCACAGAAGAACATTGCCAATGTTGCGTGCAATCTCCGGTGGGTACGAGGAGAAGCTGTTGGCCGTCGACCGGATGTCGCTGAGGTTGCCCTTGGCCGTCAATGGCAAGATGCGCAAGTTTTCGATTTGCTGCAACGAAAAGTCAGTACGAGGGATAACAAAGCCTTCACTACCAAAAGACGTACGCCGAGTGCTTCCATATAGGCCCGGGCCTCGATGACCTTCTTTGCCCTGTTAAGGGTGTACAATATGCCAATCGTCTCCCGATTGACTTGGGAAACCTTCCTCCACCACGAGTTGTTTTCATTGTAAAGGGCAATGACTTTCTCTGCCAGCTCGACTGGGTCATCCGTTCCGAGCATACTCAGGCTCGCAGAAGATTCGTCCCCAGTCTGTCGTTGCTGTGTCTGCTTCTCTGCGGGTGTGAGCTGAGGCTTCAAGGGCTCCAGGCGCAGTGGCTCCTGTCCTAGCTCCACAGAGAGCGCTTCCGCAAGAGCGCGGTTCAGGATGGAGACTACGCTGTCGTATTCACCAGCCAAGTGGCAAAGCAGAATGGCATCATTCGTACGTCCATTGTCATCAGCCATCTTCGCAGCCTCGCGGGTAATCGTGTTCAGTAAGCCGTTCTCGCCCTTCAGCTTAAGCAGCGGTAGTCGTTCCTGAATAAGGCCAGGCGTGGTTTGTCCATTCGACTTTACATCGCCCAACAGTGTCGAAAACTCGCGTGTCTCGAGAACGAGTTCACGCAGCGCTTCATGGCAAAGCTCTGCCTGTTGCCTGCCTGCTTCGCCCGGAAGGTCGGCGTTCATGCAGATGAGAATCAAGTAATCAGCTGCAGCATCGGCACGAGCAGCACGGAAATCGCTGGTGTAGTGGCCAACCACACGTCCAAAGTTGAGTTGCGGCTGTTGCCGCGTGGTGTAAGTAAGGATTTCTCCTCCTGTCGTTGTCCAGTCGGAGACTCGCAAGAGTCCATAGTAGTCGAGAGCAATGGCAAAATGTACCGCAGAAATGTAGTTGTGACTGTAGAGGTAGTTGATGGCTTGCTCAAACAGGCCAGCGAGTATAGACAAATAGAAATAGACACCGTATCCACCAGCTGCCTCGGCATTATCGTCCATGAAGTGGCGCTGACCCACCTCTTTAATCGTGTTTCGCAGTTCTTCCAGACCAAAGACCTCGCCAGCATTCTCTTCTGCTCGATTGCCTTCACGAGCCAGGTTGAAGTGCAACCATGTCCAGTCGTCCATGTTCTCGTTGATGGGCTGCAAATTCCGTTTACTGATGTCGCATCGGCCTACAATCTTGTAACAAGCCAAGCGGTAGGGGTCTTCGGGGACACCAAGTCGAGTTCGCTGGGCGTGGGTATGGCTGATCTTCTGCTGTGTATCTGGGTTTAGTCTACGCTCCGGATCCGTCGCATACTGGGTGATTGCGGCGGAAAAGTTTCTGTCCGTGTTTTGGAAGAAGTTCCTCTTCTCTCGTACATAGTCAGCCGCTTCCGCAAGCAATCCTCCTCGCAGCAGGTAGAAGACGATAACCCATGGGAACTCTTCCCCGACATCACCGATCCGCTGGAGAAGATCCGTATCCGGCCCCAACTCTTTGAAGGCAACCTTGGCTCGCACGAAACCGCGAATCTTGTTGAGCAGAGATGGTACACCGCCGACAAGAGCCTCAGCAGGATGCTTTTGTACAACCTGGTCGACTTCCCTGAGGAACTTCGTCTCGGTATATTTCAAAGCACCGTCTAGAATACGCTTGCGTATTCGCAGGGAGGCAACAGAGTTGCTTTGATCGTCGAGGTAGTCCTTGGCAAAGCTTCGTTCCTTTGGCTGATTCGATCCAGGGTTCGAGGCCTCGAGCTCGTTCTTCTCGCCAATGATGGATATTAATGCGCCATAAGCGTTGATGAAGTAGTCAGAATTGTCTGTGCCGGCCGTCATCTCCACATTGGAGAATGCGTGCAGTGGAGAGCAAGCGTTTTCACGCAACCTCGCATCATTTAGTTTCCTGACTTCGTCCATGAACCGCTCCTGCTTGTCGCGAGCATATCGATCTTGGGGTCCAGCTGGACCGCCCAAGACCGACTTATCGGAGCCATCCCGTCCGCCGAGGACACTTGTAGAGGCCCCGAGAACAGGCGGGCCGCTCGAAGTCGCTCCAAAGGTCGATTTGCCATTTACAGACGCGCCCTTAGGTCCCATGGATCGCCCCTTGCGGTTCGAGCGTCCGAAAGCTCCGCGGGCTGTGTTGCCAAATGTAGCCTGTGAGGCTGCCATATCCTCACTTTGCCTACCAAGCCCAAAGTGTTCATAGATTCGCTGCCGCTGTTTGTCCCACTCAATCTGGACGTTGTCTTCGAGAAAAGTGTCGAAGTCGCGCTTGGACTGTTCGAGCCCTTCTTGGATAAGTGCCAAGGTTGACTGGGAGTGGAGGTTCGAAATGTAGCCATCGACATCGTCATCAAAGAGGTTCTGCGCCTGTCCATTTGTGGGGATGCCTGCCTGCGTGGAGAATTGGTTCAGATCGCGAAGGGTACTACCCATCTTCACGCCTGAAGCCGAGAGCAGGTAATGCCTGGAAGTTGTCAGTACGAGTAAAAAGACATGTAATTGGAGCTACTCACGCAGCACGATCTTGTGCGCGGTCCTGCACTTGATCCGCCGAAGGGCCACCAGAGCCCAGGTTGCGCACCTTGCGGGCAATGTCTCCCAGGCCCAGCTGCAACGAAGGCAGCTCATCGAAGTTGCTCGTGCCATTCTCACCAGCATTGCGCTTGCGACCCCGTTCCAATAGATGGTCGAAGTGTGCGGAGCGCGTGGTGCCTGTGGTCGACTGGGATAACGGTGCGCCCTGCTGTGACTGCTGTTGCTGTTGCTGTTGCTGCTGCTGCTGCTGCTGCTGCTGTTGTTGAGGCTGCTGCTGGGTTGAGGCACCTCCGAATAGAGACGATTGCCCAAGGCCACCTGTTTGCTGCTGGTTTGCCGTGCTCGCTTGCGCATTCGTAGTGTTGTTGAACAGCGAGAAGCCACTCGTTTGTGCCTGCGGCTGTGACGTCGACCCTGCACCAGCGAACAGCGACGGTGTGGTGGTTGCTGTAGACTTTGCTCCACCAAGACCACCACCGAACAAGAAGTCGCTTTACCCTGTAAACTCGCAACATACGTCGGCGCCGCTCTCTGAGGCA